CCATTTTTCTCTCTCCAAATAGAGTGGATTGTGTTCTGGAACACATACTTGAGTATAAATCCTTTGGTTTTATCGATGTCTTTTCCTGCAAGCATCTTCATGATCTCTAGCCATTTGTCGGATCCTCAGTCCACTGACCAGCTCCTCCCACACCTTTCTTGAGAACGGGCATTAAAAAAATGAGTGATCTCTTGTTTCCAGCGGGTCTTTGCAGAAGATACAGCTCGTATCCACGTTCTTGTTCCATTTATCATTCTATCCCCTGTTGCTACTCTGTTTTTCACAACTAACCAAGTCAGGAAAGCGTACTTTGGGGTAGCATTCGCAAACCAGATCTCATCAGAGCCTCTCGCCTCCCGGAAACCTAGCTCTCTTCGCGGCTGCCCTTGACAACTAAACCTCCCCGAAATCCCTCAGTACTTAGATAAATGCATTTGCAGCGCTAACAAAGCTCGGGGCAACAACAGTGCTTGTGCGTCAGATATATATATGCGACAATGAGGATCCACACCACAAGTCAGGCAAATTCAAGTAAACCCCTGTAACGGAGCACTTGATCTGCTCAAGGGCTCGTAGTAGTGTTTTCACATCAAATTGGAAGCTATAACTTCTTTGATTAGTTTTTAGTGAAAATAAATCTCTAGTTCAGTAATATATGTGAAGAGGTTTTCGAGTTGCAAAATTTCTGCAGAAACCTCAAGAATTAAACTTATTGACAAAAGATAAAAACTTGTCTGAAGTTGTTTGGTCTCATTGATTCTTTCAACAACTTAATAACCCATAATAACTAATTTAACTGAAGCAAAATCATAATGAACCATCATTCCAACATTGAGAGACCAAGATCACCAATTTTACTTGCCCTGGTTGTTGATTAAAGCTTTGGTTAGGAAATGCGAAACGATTCCAACCGGACAGAAGAGAAGGCAGAGCGAAACCGAATGCCTCGTCTCGATCTGATTCTCTAACCCATCATTATAAACTTGCCTGCAAATAAAAACCGAAAACATGGTTTATAAGAAACATGTTCGGATAAATTCAGAACCCATTAATTGAGAAGAAACAAATCCGCAATATACCGTGCAGCAAAAAGATCTATCACAAGAAGATGAATCCAAGCAGAAGCAAGAGTCATTTCACTTGAGAACATTTTCGCTATTCCGGACAGCTGCAGATGAAATAAAAACATTAGAAACTGCATTGATACATTCTTGTTTTCGAATGTTTCGGGATGGTTGAGGGAAAGCAAAACCTCTGGCAACATGTATTTACTAGAAAACATGTATTTGAGCGTCTCGGGTGTCCAAGAAAGGTATAACAAATATGCGTATAATACGCCTAAGACGATATACGGTATGCTACTCTCCATACACTTCTTGGTCTGCAAAAAGCAACATAATACTCAATTTAGATCAACTTCTTTGGTTCTGCACAAAAACTGCAATAAAACATAAAACTTACAATTTCAGCTTTTGGAGCTACAACCATGAGCGTATAAAAGGGAAGAACCGCGGTAGTTCCAACCGCAAATACACTGCTTGCAATCTGAGAAGTAGTTAACCCTGCAACATGAATATATAAGAGATTCTATCACTCATTTAATCTGAGATCAAAAGTCACAAATGAGTGACAAAGTTTTAATCTTTAAACTTCAGTTACAAATGCAGAGAAACACATTACATGAAGCTCGTACACCGGAGAATTTCTTGCGAACTACAGAGTTAGAATTCAACGAAACATTGGACTGAACAGAGATTCCTGATCCTCCAATGAAGCTCCAACGATGATCTAATCTAATCTTTGAAGAATCAAGACAAAGTTCCAATCTTTTAGCCGAAATGTTGCGTTTCATCATCTGAATTCAAGAAAGATTCTCTTTTACTTCATAGAAATTCAGAAACTTTCAGACAAAAACTCACAACAATCAAGAACAGAGATTCTTTAACAGTGACTCAGGAGAAATAAAGTCAACTTAGTCAATTCGAAAACCCATTAAATTCTTCAATTTGAGTCAAAAGATAAAGACTTTTAAGGTTATCCATAACTATTCAAAACAGTAGAACCTCAACACATATACGAATAGTGAAATTGAAGAAGAAGATACCGTGAGAGATGAAGACAAAGGCTGAGAAACGCAAGAAGAAAAAGCCATCTCTGATTTAAATCTGCCAAAAATTGATCTTTCATCACCTTCTTCAACAAACTCTCTGCATATATATATAAATTAAACACAAAGAGGAATAATGGTTTGATAGATTTCCACTGAATTAAAAAATAAAACGGAAGTGGAAGGAAAAAAAGTTGTCTTTCACACTCTTTCTTGCTCAGTGTCCACAATTATATGCAACACTTTTTGCTCATCCTTCCATCTTTAAAAACTTCAATTTCGGTTTAGTTTATTTAAATTACTTAGATTTTTTGTTTATTTAAATTAAAATCTATTATAATATGGCATAATCAGTAGATTCAGTATAATTTTGGTTTATTTCAATCAATGATATATCTAAATATTAGTATTATTATTATCATATAAGATTTTAGTAAATTAATTACACAAAAAAGTTCAATATATAAGTACACATAAATTTTTGAATATATTGATGGAAAATTTAAATGTAAATGGTTTATTTTTGTGTGAAAGAAGTTATATGTTAATGGAGAGTTGTGATCAAAGTGAATTTAGGTGGACAAGACACAAGTCTAGTTTCAGGACAGAAAAAGACAATAGTTAGTGTTTCCCCCATTAATTCGTTTTTTTCTTTTATTAGATTATATATTTTAATTTGTATTCACAACCTGGTTATTGCATTAAGAATTGACTATAAAAAGATTTAAAAAAAAAATACATTAACGAAAAGAAAAACAAGAAAAAGATAGACATGTGGCTAATACTCATTGCTTGAGAAATTGGATGGAGTACGAAGATAACTTGGGTGGGCTATTTGGTATGATAACTTATATATCTATTAATAGGCCTTTTGGCCCACCCACTTTGTTTTTTTTTCTATTCCTTTATCACTCCCACCTAATTTGTTTATTTCAACAAAAAACAACACATGAAAACAAAAACAAAACTTTGGTAACTCCTATCTAACCAAGTTAGAAAAAGCCTTTGGGAGGCGATTTTTTAGGTCTAGCCGCCAAACAACTTCTCTTCTCAAATCTTTGTCGATACCTCTCTGATTTTCCGGTGTCCTTGGCCGGAGTCGTGAGAGGGTGTGTCTGTTTATCTTTTAATTGATTTTCCTTTGTTTTGGGTCTTCTTTGGCTTCTCCTATGGCGGATTAAAGACAAGATCTAGATGGTTGTGCTTCGATTGGGTTGGTTCCGTTCTAGTGATGGGTTTGCTTGGTTCTCAGTGGATGGTCGGTGTTTTCGTCGGAGCCCGTGTGGTTCTTCACTATTACGGCTGTTTGTTTTTGGAGATGGAGGTTTGGTTACTTCATCTTGTTTATGCCCGTAACTTTTAGAAGCTCTGCAGTCTCGATTCTGTCTTAGGCTAAGATTGGATTGCCTTTGGTTGGGTAATTTAGTCTTAGTAGTATGGTTGGTTGAGGGTAGAAGCCTTAGTTTCAAGTTTAGGGATGGCAATATTGACTCCTAGTTCTGCCTCCTGTTACTTTCTGCCCGGTTATTGGGGTTATGAGTTTGTGAAGGTTTCGTTTTGTGGGTTCTTCATTTGGATGGTAGTCTCCTACAAAGGCATCTACTAGCTCTCTTCTTTTTCCTTGTTTGGATTTAAGGTTTGAGTTCAAGACGATGTGGTAGGCTCGGTCTCTATTCCTTCTCTTGCGTGGCGTAACAAGTTCTTAGGCTGTAGATGGTTTTGGCTGGGTCTACGAATGTCCGCGTGTAAGGTTTGTTGGCCCTCTTTAGCGTTTTCCCCTTCGGATCTCAAGGCTTCTCCTTGTCCCTTCTCCTACTTGTCTTCTCTGGTTTCTGGTGTGGTAGTGATGGTTAGGATCTGTGTTCTGATTCTCTTTTATCTGTGCTCGTTTCTGCTCGGGGTGTGGTTGTGTGAGCTTGGTTTTGTATCCTTCTCGGGCCTTTCATGTAAAGGCAATCTAATGATGGGTCCTCTTGTTGCTCCTGTTTGTAACCACTTTCCAGCGCCCAAAATGTTCTATGGAAATGTTCGTCGGATTCTTTTCGTGAAGAGTTTGCAGTTGTGTTGCTTGAGTCTTAGATATTAGCTTTTTCCTGTACTTTAAGGTTTTCCTTCTTTTATGTCTGCCTTTTTTGGCTTTTGTCTTTGGGGGTTTCCATGTATCCGCCGGCTTAGTTTTCCGGGGATTAGAGTCCCGCCGGGGTTAGTATTTTACCATGTATCCCAACTTTGTATTTCTCCCTTGGTTATATTTCATGAATTATTCAGACGAAAAAAAAAAAAAAAGTAAGTCCTATCTATCAATCTTTATGTGGTATTTGAGCATTTCGATGTATTCGATGGCGACCAAAACCTTTTGAAAAACAATATGTATAATTCTTGAAATTAAATAGTAAAAAAGTTATTAAAAAATGGGTAAAAAAGTTTTAAGATATTTGAAAACTTTCCACTATATCAATAATTAATTAGAAATGTTTTTTTTTTTTAATAAAATTTGAGTTTTTACGACCCACACATAGCATATCCTATTTCGAAAGTACCTAAACAAACGGTTCCAAAATATCTTTATGTGAATTTGGGTCAAGCCCTTCGATTGAAGAAAATATATGATCCACAAGATGCTTGAATATACTTAGTAAAAATGAATATTCAAGACTCTTATCCAGAATCCTATCCTAAAGAAGGCACGTCCACTAATGTATCCATCACTAGATTTCAAGTGGGTCATCTTTTACTTAAAGATATTGTTAGTCTAAACCTCTCAAGCTCATTAATCATGTGACAAGAATTGAATGTGAATCTAATTTTTCTAGTGATTTCTTTAGCGACACTAGATATGCTATGGTTCTTCAACTTGTAAATTTCATATTTGGAGCCGCATTGTCCTCTTTCATTTTGTTCATATGCAATTCAAATTGAAAGACTTATAGAACATTACATATTTATTTCATCAGACAGTTGAGAATCCGATAGAAAATGTCTCGCAAACCGGAAAACAAACGTTAAATCCGGAAATTAAAACCCATAAAAAAAGAAGAAGAAAAAAAGCAGAAGAACAAGGGATAAAATCAAAGGTGGGGGATAATGTTTTGATGTTTACACAGAGCAAAGGGAAATTAACCGGTGAAGCTTGGTGGCTTGTAGGCAATGAAACTGATGCACTGCACTTGACGGCTGTTGTCGAATCCGATGATCCTAATGAAGGCTTCAGGGTACTCCTTCTTGCACTCTTCCACTTCCTTCAACACTTGAGCGGAGTCGGTGCAACCGAACAAGGGAAGCTTCCACATTGTCCAGTACCGTCCATCGTAGTATCCGGGGCTGTTACCGTGCTCACGGTACACAAATCCGTGCTACAAACCACATATATTACAACCACTCAGAAAAACATTTTGTATATGTTTATATAATTCAAGATTCCTAATATATGAAGCGAATTACTAACCTAATTTTCCTAAGATCTACCTCGTTTATATATATGTTTTAAGCTTTTATTAATTACCTCCAACTCGAATTCAACACAAGGAATCCACTTGTTGCGGAGAAGGTAGTCAACTTCCTTAGCCAATTCGGAATCGGTAAGGTCAGGAAGGTAAGAGAGAGTCTCGAACTTCTTCTTTCCAACGGGAGGCCACACCTATATTTTTTTTTTTTATCGATTTTTCGAATCATATTAGTTCATGTAAATCTAATTAAAAACCGATAATAAATTAAAAAGTGAAGAAGAAATATATATGACCTGCATGCAGTTAACTCTTCCGCCGTTGCTTGTGATGGAAGTAATGTCGTTGTTGGCCTTGCGGGTGGCTGGGAAGGCAGCGGAGGACTTAAGTCCGGTGAAAGGAGCGACCATTGTGGCCTGAGCCGGAGAGGCAACCATAGTAGCGGAAGAGAGCATAGAGGAAGCCATTGTTCTTCTTTACTCTTTGTGTGACTGAGGTTTGGTCTAGAGCTTTGGTCATCTATATATAATGGTAATAACGATGAGAATAAGCTTTGGAGTGATCGGAGGGTCTAGGATTCATGAGATTCAAGTGGAATAGGATCTAGACCGTTGGATTTTGAGTGTGGATATGTGTGAGGTTAATTCACTTGGTAACGGCCACAAAGGCCTAAGGAGAGGTGTTGAGACCCTTATCGGCTTGAACCGCTGGAATAATGCCACGTGGAAGATAATTCCATGAATCTTATCGTTATCTATGAGTGAAAATGTGTGATGGTGGTGCTACTCATTTTACTGGCCTGGTGGTTTTGGCTCTTTCCTTTTGGGGAATTTATATTTTACTTACTACAAGCTTTCATACCTTTTTTTACCTTGGATTTGGTTTGAATATTTTAAATGGTATGGTTCATGAACAAAAACACATTTGTTTGGGAAGTCTGTCAGTTGGGCCTTGGCCCAATTGGTTTACCTGGTAGTCAGAAATGCAGACGGCCTGACTACCCCCTGACACTTAGTCGGAAGGCATTCCAAACTCGGGATAGGCAGAGTGGTAGCCTGTAAGGGCCTAACCGTTAACACGGTGGACCAGTCCACTATGTAGCACATCGGTGCGTTCCTACCGGGACCGACCGGATAGCCGATAGGGTTTATCAAAAAAAAAAAAAAAAAAAACTGTAAAAAGCTAAAATAAACTGTAAGAAAAACATCTCAAGTCTCCATCTTCCTTTATGAACACTATAAACAAAGCAAGTCAGACAAATCTTACTGGGCATGTCTTCCCAACCTCTTCCATCACTTCCCTATCGGGTTGTATGTTTTTACTTGTACTTTTCCGGTGTAATGATAGTATGTTGACCCAAAGAAAAAGCCTTTAAGAACTTATTGGGCTCTTTGTCAAAACTAATTAATTGGGCTCACAATCGAAAGTCATGGAATATAGATATAGTCCAAAGACTTTCCGACAGCTTTCTAATCAAACGTGAAACGCCCATCAATTGAAATTTACTAGTAATAATAAATCATCAGTTAGGTTACCCTTCTTATTATGTGCCAAATTCAATACAATATAATTATTTGAATGAAAATGTATTAATGTTATTAATCTAATGGTTAGGTAAGAGCTAAAAAAATCATATATTAAATATAAGGTTCAACTTTTAAAAATTAGATTAGTGTTGAAATCATCGGTTTATTCTATTCAAATCATAGGTTTTTCGTATTGAAATTCATTTAATTCGTAAAATGATTGAAAACGTAATTTATTTTTAACCTAGATAACAAAGAATCATATACATTTTTGTGTTTCGTTCATTTACTTCATAATTTTATTTAATTTGAATTTCTGTTTTTTATTTGTGTAAGATATGTATATAACATTGATAGCAAAATCTGTAAATAATAAGCTAAAACTCTCTCTGGAAACGTTACGTCAACATAAAAATTTCGTTAATAACACTTGACATGAGGGTAAAGTTCATTTTTAAGAGTGTTTTTGAATTAATATATAGTGGATACAAATCTCGACTCTAAAAAAACACATTATAACTTTGAATTCTGACTACAACTCTATTTTTAAATTCTGATTGTAGAGTGAAAAATCTTAATACGATAAAGCCATGAATATTTTTTTTTTTTTGGGTATCAAAAAACCATGAAAACATGTTAGTAGAAAAAAACTAGAAAGAACTTCAAGACATTCAAAGAATTAATATGGAAATTTTGTAGAAAAAATAGAAAGCACCCACATATCATGATATATGATGTTTCTAATCCCAACTTTAAGACTCATTCAAAGAGTTAATATGGAAATTTCAGAAAATCTACCATATCGGACTTCCTCTTTTGTTGCATATGAATATGTTTACCAATTATGTGAATGAAGATTATATATATACTAGATTTTAACGCGCGGTACTTAACCAGGGATGGACGTAAACTCGTAAGCTACAGGAATGCCTCACCCGATGATTGGTCCTTGGTTGGTTGACTAGCTACTCCTGCCACGAGTCGAGAATTCTGAGAATTGTGTTAGTTCATGCCCTTTAGAACTTCCCCGCAACAAGATAGAAAGAAGAGTATAATTCGGTTCACTCCTCACCTTTGAAATGTAGCTTGAGCAGCTAATCAGTCAATACCGTGGGATGCTTTTTTAAAAAGTTAATATAAATTAAATTTTGCAAATTGCTCTATCAAAAAACGAATTCAAAAAAAAAAATTGTATCTCCTTATAAAATATTTAAGTAACGGTATACCATGAGTCCACAGAACAATTTTAAAAAAACTGAGGATTTAACCCGTGTTAAAGCGGTATGTTAATGATATTTTAAAATTTTATAAATATTGATTCAAAACCCGTTCTGAAATACAACCCGTCCCGTAATCTTTTCATCCGTTCCTTGATTTGTTTTCTAAAAGTTATTATTTTTAAATTTAACGATTATTTATTATATATAAAAGTTTACAAATTGTTTCATTCTCTAAGACATTTATATTTTAATAAACTGAGGATTTAATCTGTATTAAAGCGGTATGTTAATGATATTTTATAAATATTGATTCAAACTCGTCCACCATATAATCATGTTCCAAAATATAACCCGTCCTGTAATTTCTTAACCCGTCCCGTGATTTGTTTTCTAAAAGTAGTAATTTTAAATATTTATTGATTATTTATTATATATAAAAATTTAAAAATTGTATCATTCTCTAGGACATTTATATTTTATACTTTACAATTGTTATTAAGTAATATTATACCATGGGACAATTTTTGGTTTTATATAATCTTTTCTAAATGAGACTGATTAAGGTATTAAAAAATAAGGATTTAATCCGTATTGAAACGACAGATTAATAATATTTTAATTATTTTATTATTGTTTATTCAAAAACCTGTCCCGCCAAAGTCCAAACCCGTCCCGCTAGAAAACTTATTTATTTTATTAATGTTGATCTTATTTCTGATATGATTCTGAATCATTGTCTAAATATTTTAGTCGATTTGGAACGTTGAATACACAATTTTCGTCAATTGGATAATATATGTCCGTTTTAAATTTCGAATCACAGTATATAGAAAAAAAAATTGACTTTTTCTTTTACTTTACGTATTATATGATGATTCAAAACATTTAAAAACAAATCAAACAAAAATGATAGGAAAATCATAATTCTAAATCTTAATCAAATCTTCTAAATATTAAAATTATTAAATATGGAATATCCTATTTATGAATTGAGTTAAATATAATCCGATCTAACAAACTTTTTATGACCAAAATTTGTAAATGGGTTGGATACTCATTGTATCCAAATACATTTTGCTCTATCCGTTAAAAATATATTTAAAAAATATTAGCATAGATATATTACAAGAAGCTTATGTTATTCTAATCATAACATTGAAGCTCCTCGTAAGGTAAAGCACACAAAATTCCGAAAACCATGGAACACGTAAGCCCCTGGCCCTGGGTTTGTATTATTCAATTCATTTGTTATATATTCCTCCTAAAATTATGGAAGCGATTGGAAGATATAGAAGAGGTTTTGTCCAACAATTTAAAATCGACGACGAAAAAGTAGGATGACGTTATTAACACGCGCGGCCATATGGATGCAAAACCCTATATTTCTCTAAAATTGTTTTGGCTATTTCCTCTTTTTTTCTAATATAAAAATGTTTTTGGACATTTTTGCATGGCATCTTCACCTATATCTCCTCCATTTGGCTTCCTTTATTCAGTTCAATGTATCATCAACAAGAGTTCACTACCTTTTATTTCATTCATGGCTTGTTTTTAGTTCTAGATTTGGATTTTTGTAGCTTAACTTTTGATAGAATTCGGAAAGAGAAACTGATAAACAAAAGGTAGAGTTAACGTTGGATTCTGTATCAGATAAACCTCCATAAAGGATTATATCATTGTATAAGTCTAGCTAGAAAATATCCATGTTCGTATTTGTCAATTAAATTTTTTTTTGTATTCGTTGTTTATTATAAAACGACAAAAATGTATTCGTATGTTTATGTTTTGTATGCATCTATTTAGATAACATATCATTAGTTATTTTTTTTTTAAATAATTAGTTATTTACAAACCATATCATAAATGAATTATTATTAATTTTTTATAATTTTCTTGCTTACTTTTTGAGTGTACATTGTCTTAGTTATTTTTTGCCGCATGATTATGTTAAGTAGTTAGGACCTTATGGAGGAGATAATCGAGGTTATGTGAAATAAAATTCTCCTATCATCTTTGTTTGAACATTTTTAACTGTTTTGAATTATCATATAATACATAAAATTAAAAAAATCTCAAATTTTTCTGCATATATTGGGATTCGAAATTTTTAAAACAGATATATATTACCCAATTGATGAAAAAGGTGTGTGTTTAACGTCCCATATCGGCTAAAATATTTTTAAATATTGATTCAGAATCATATTATAAATAAGATTAAAATGAATCCAAATCTGAATAAACAAGATTCTCAACTTAATAAGCATCCAAATTTAAAATTATATACCATTTTTCTAGGTTTTTTAGTTTAACTGCTTAATTTTACCAGAAATATTAAATTTTAAACCTTTAAATTTTTTTAAATAATATATAATTCATATATCTAAAATCAATAAATATTTTATAATATTATGAACATTTGAACATATATAAAAAATTACAATAACACGAGACAGGTTATATTGGTAGATAAGGTTATATAACGGTACGAATTTTAAGTAGTTTTAAATATTATAATTAATATATTTAAAATCAATAAACATTTTATACTATAAAAAAAATTGAAAATATATAAAGAGTTAAAATAATTTGGGACGGTTATATTGCACGACGGAATTATATTGCAGAGCAGAGTTATATTGCAGTGTGAGGTTATATTGCAGGACGGGGTTATATGATGGGACGAGTTTGATTAAAAAAAATAAAACATCATTAACCCGCTGCTTCAATACGGTTAAATGTTCATTTTATTACTTTTTAACACCACCAATATCAGACATATCGAATGATACTGATTAAAGTAAATTGTATAAAACAAAAATTGTCTTGTTGTATACTGTTACTTAATAACAATTGTAAATTAGAAAATATAAATATCTTATAAAATAATACAATTTGAAATTTTTTATAAACATTAAATTTTAAAAATCATTAATTTTAAAAATAAATCATCCCACGGATTAAAATCTAGTATTCTTTAAATTAGCAAAACCGACCCATCTCAAATAGTGCAAATGTAAAAGCGGATAAATTGGCACGAAATGTTCGTACCGAACCGCATCACATCACGTATGTAAACAACATTCCTCAGGAATGGCTCTTTTGAGTCTTAATTAATAGCGGTTGACAAAAAAAAAAAAGACCCATCTTAAATAGTTGCCTAAGTTTTTTTTTTTAGGCAACGGTTGGATTATTTGTTTCAGTAATTGCGTATACTCCCTCCGTTTTAAATTAGTTATCGTTTAAAGTTTTTTCACGCTTATGAAGAAAATATTCAATTTTTCTGTTTTACCCTTAATTAATGTATTGTTTTATGTGATATTATCAATTAATAAGCTAAGAGAGTATGGATTAAATTAGAAAATCTTTTAAAAATACGCACTGAAAACCTAAAACGATAATTAGTGTAAAACAAAATTTAACTTTTAAAACGACAACTAAATTAAAATGGATGGAGTATATAACAAGGAAATCCTAGAGTGAGAAGGAAACTCCAAAACCATGTTGACCAGAATAATTGGAAAACAACCTATGATGCTCATAGAGAATAGGTGAAACCGGTTTAGTTCCTACCTCATCACTTTCCCCTCTCTGGAAAACCGGGAAATTTTGTACTTACTGTTGAAAGTGTAATTAATACTTAAAAAAAAGTTTGCTATATCCTTTAGGATTTGAACCGTGACTATGAGTCTAAATGGTAACATTAGTTTTGAGGAATTGTTGAGGAATTTTGGTGGAAAAAAAAAATGTTACATCATTTCAAGACTTGAGGAATTTTTGAGGAATTGGTGGAATTCTTGAGGAATTTTTTTTGTTAGGCTTTTTTTGTTTTAATTAAAAATTAAATTATACTTGAAACTATAAATATTGAAATTCAATAGTACAAGTTGCTCGTAAAAAAAAATTCTTAATTAGACAATTATAATTTCATTTTTTTTTTATCAAAAAGTAAAATTAATTATAAGATTTTATGGTTTTAAAAGATAATATTTGATTAAATTATCACATATATTAACTTTTGATTTCACCATAATCACCAAAATATATAATAATTATGTTTGATAACACTTTACATATATTAACTTAAAAATTTCAATAATTTTTGTAATCTTAAAAACTTTTAGAAAATTTAGAGAATTTAATTAATTTAAAAGCATAAATCAGATTCTAGTTTAGCTAACTTGATTATATTTCTAATATAGTAATTTTAAATTTCTTCAAAATTCAACCTTATTTTTTACAAGTCACAAGTTTTTCATAATATTTTGTTTTTAACTAATTTTGTTGGAAATTTTTTTTCTAATTAAAGTTTTTAGAAGTTTATTTGATTAATTAATATTAAAAAAAAATCAACTAGATTCAGCAGTTACCATTTGAACTTTAAATTTCTCAGCCAGATTCCGCAAGAAATTATAAATAAATTCAGCTAGATTCAGCAATTCAGCCAGATTCAGCCGGATTCCTCGGTTACCATTTAGACCCTATATTCTACCTAAGTTTCGAAAAAGAATACACTAGCGTTCGTGAGGTAAGAGTAGACCGTAAGATAACGTCAAATTTGATATTTTAGTACTAGTATTTAAAGTTATTATTCAATATTTGTTATTGTTTTGTCTCTTATTCTAAAAATCCCCGTCCATCCCGATTACTCTCCTCTTAATCACTAATCCTATCCTATCCACTTCGATTAATGACTAATCCCCTAAAAAATCACTTACCCGATTTTTTCACCGCCTAATCTGATTACTTTCTGCCTAATCCGATTACTTTCCTCCTAATTTTATATATCCCAATTATTTTTAGATTGCAAGTATAAAAAAACTTTTTATTTTTGTTATTCAATTATTTAAATTGGGAGTTTGTGATGTTTTACAATAACTTATGTTCAAATTTTAATAAAAATCATAAATTTGTAATAAAAATCATAAAAATTTATCTCAAAAATACAGTTTTATGTGTTTATTGTAATTTTAAAAACAATTTGGATTAATATGTTTTAAAACTATTAAAATAATCCTAAAACTAATCACATATTAATCTCCAATTTTAATCTGATTTTCTGATTAATCGCTAGTTCCATACTAAGCGCCCGACTAGCGTATAGAGATTTTTCAAACAAGGGTTTTGTCCTATCAGTTTGTTCAAAACTTGTTAGTTGTTCGTTTCTGTCCGTTACTCACAATTTATTTAGCTGTCCCAATTTAAATTTTAACCAAACTATTCCAAACATATAGACGAGTTTTACTTCTCTCTTTTTTCAATTCTGAATCTTAATTATGCACATTTCCAAAACTTACATTAACTATAACATCTCCATTGTTTTCTTTTTTTCAGCATAGCTGATGCAAATTTCGAATGCAAATTCATTAGAGTTGGAACAAATTTCTTGAAAGAAACTAGCTAGTTGTTGCATTCATTTTTTCAATAAATAATTTGGCATAACAAGAAGAGAGAGTGGTGTTTAGAATTTATACGATGACAAATTGCACATACTCATATTATTATAGATTTTGTCCTGAATTGTAGGTAAATCTCTTACGTTTTTACTGTTTTTTTACTGGAAACTATGGGTTTTAGGTAATTATTTCTAGCAAAAGATAAACAATAAGGACACATATGTCAAATCTGTTGATGTTGAATAATATATAAAAAAAAAGGTTACAACGATTACGTATATACACCTTTTGACATTTTGTTTTGGTAAACATATACTACTCCTTCTGTTTCATATTATATGATGTTTTAGTCATTTTATCTTGTTTCACAATATAAGATGTTTTGGACAAAAACAATTTAAGTTTTCATATAAAAAATTAAATTTATACAATTTTATAACTATTTATATTCTGTAGTAAACTTTTTCATTGGCCAAACTTTCTTTAAGTAAATATTAAATTATGATTTCAATGTAAAAATAATAGAAACAAAAAAATTGACTAGTTTCTTAAACTTTGTAATTTTAATCAAAACATCCTATATTTTGAAAAAGAAGGAGTACTATATATTTTTAAGGTTATTAATATTCTTTTTGAACTACTACAGTATATTTTCGAGCTATATACTACATATTGTGTGTGTATAATTCTTTTTTATATTAATTATAAAAGTAACAGAAATTAGGTTAAACATCACCATTCAATGCCGATTGTTTTAGTGAAAGAAACTACCGAATTTAACCAATAAACATTGAAATTATTTCTTTACTTAAAAAAGTAAAATATTGAGTCTATACTCTATAGTAGTCAAAGTGATTCCATTGGGATAATTTATTAAGTGGTCTCTGGATAATAATGTTTAATTATCAGAATTATGTATGGAGCTACATAATGTGTAGCCGTTCAGAAAACGCGGCGATTCGACCAAACTCTGTTACCACAATGTCTCCACCACGCGATCACATTTTTCGCTTGCATGCGAACGTTGAAGTTCGAACCTCTCCACTCTCTATTTACCATTTTACCCTCTAGTAGTTTCGTATTCAAAATTTACCATCTCCAAATATTTTGGCAGTCCATTATTAATTGCCGAACATTAAACTGCGGCCATGACAAAAAAAAAACAAACGGCGGTCAGATATAAAAAAGACTTAAACCAAATACAGTATAAAAATACTTGACTGGTTTTGGACCTTTCGGTCGATCGCGATCACGCGCTACGAATGAAGAGTCGGAGACAAAGCTCAACGGCTTCCATATATGGTGCTTTCATATTTATTACTCATTCCGTTTCGTTTTAGTTATCGTTTAATGTTTTTTCACACAAATTAAAAAAATCATTTAATTTTTTGTTTTATCCTTTATTAATATATTTTATAAAAAAATTCATTGGCCAAAACATTATAACAATAGGGATAAAACTAGAATTTTCACCAAACATTTGCATTGAAAACCTAAAACGACAACTATTATGAAACAAAATTTAAATCTTAAAACGACAACTAAACTGAAACGGAGGGAGTAGTAACTAAAAAAACATTGCATTCTAGAAAGTATAAACCATGAAAATTGAAATATTGACAGTAAAATTTAATTTTTAACAAAAAAAATATTTCGTTGTCAAAAAAAAGCTAGAAAAAAATTATGTGAAACTTTGTTTATTTTTATAAAACCTTGTGTTCATTTCCATAACTTTACTAGTAAAACTTACTTACCTAAATAAATGTATTTTTCTTATCATTTACTAAAATTAATTCATACAAAATAGAAAAAAACTATTTTAGCTTTATAAAATACATCATTTAAAAAAGTATATATAAAAAGGTTACGATTTTTTTCTCTCTTTGACATCTTATACTCACTCTGCTCTTTTATAAATAATGTTTAAAGTTTATATTTTTTGTTCTTAAATAGATGATGATGTTTTTAGTTTTCAATATAATATTAATTAATTTTTTATTGGTTTTAATGATTTATATTATGCAAATAATTTTTATTAGTTGATAAGATAATAAATTATGTTTGTTTTAAAGTAAAGAAAATTAAATAATTTTTTAATCTATATGTATTTTCTTAAAACATCATCTATAAAAGAAAGTTAGAGCAACAGCAATGGTAGCTCTTAAAAGGCTCTAACCCATAGTTTCTTGTAATAAAAGGTCCAAATTTAAATCAAAACAGAAATAAAACTTAAGGAACGTTTCTAATTTAAGGTTTTTTTTGTTGCTCTAAGAGACGCTACGTGTCGCCTTGTCATTAGCACGAAAAGTGAGAAAACAAACTTTTTTTTTTCTTTCGCGTTTCAGTTTTTCTCAACCCTCTCTCTTTTCTCTTTGTTTTCTCCGACGGCGAATCTCTTTGAGCTTCATTTCCGGCGATGTACATCATCAAATCGGAAGTAAAAAGCGAAGCAACGTTGTAAACAATAAGCCGTGATGCTCATCTCCACCGTCGGCGTGGTCACCAACAGAAGTTCGTTGACCTAATCAGTGGGTTCTGCAAATCAAATCGGAGAGAAAGGCGATTCCAGTGGCTCCAATCGCTTCCTCACGGTATGAATCTCTCAGTTTTATTTGTTTGTGATATGAGATTTGTTTTGCTAGAAATTAGGGTTTTTGATTTGTAAACGCAATTTTGAGTTTTTGAATAGATAATGAGTCTCTTAATCTGTTAATTTGGGTTATTGATTACATAATCTGAGATTAAAGATTTGTATTTGATCTTGATTCATGTAAAAAAGTCTGTTGATCCACCAACATGTCCTGCGGATTACAGGTGGTATAACGCAGAAGAGGAGATTCTTGGGAAGAAAATAAAAGTACTTTAGTTTGTTTTGTCTTTTTCTTGTGGATTACAGTATTATAGTGGGAAGCGATCAAGGCATAAGAGGGATGATCATGGTACTATCATGGTACTGGAGACAAGCATCAAGATAACAGTGATGATGTTGGCGACAGGCTTCTCACTTCTGGAGATGACTACACTAAAGATGAAAAATAAGGGGGAGAAAAGCAGAGATAAATATCGGGAAGACAAAGAAGAAGACATCAAACATAAAGGTGACAAGAGAGGAAATTATTGTTTCTTTTGTTTCTGTTATGTGATCAATGTAAGAGACTTTCATTGTCTCTCAGTTTTTAAAATGAATGAATACAGCTTTGAGTTTAACTTTGGCTTTGGCTTTGGCTTTTGAATGAAACAGAATCAGTTTAACTTTGCCTTCTCTGTGAAAGCTTTGTTTTGAGTAAATGACAAAACAGATTCAGTAAAGACTTTGAGTTCTTGTACTCTCATTTGCAGGATGCATATTTTCGTCATTAAGAGACATGTCTAGTGCCAAATTAGCCATGTTCATGTGCCAAAGTGTAGGCCATATTCTCAGTATCTTCAAGAAGAAGATGATGTTCTTTCTTGTATAGTTTTGTCTTTGATGTGTTTTCAAATGAATCTTGTATACTTTGTTATATTATTGTCATGAATCTTGTTATTTAAAATGTGTTTATAAAAAATGTATCAAAAACTTGTATAGTTTGTCTTCTCTATCTTTCTTTTCAAGCAATCAAAACTCAAACACCAAATTTTATTTTCAAATTTTTCTTTCTTAAGGATTCCTACCATTGGACATGAATATTTCTAAGAGCCTCTAAGCAAATCCTTAACTTTATATTTGTCAAAATTTACAATTAAAAAATTCTTAAGGATCCTTAAGAGATCCTTACCATTGCAAATCCTTAACTTTATATTTGTCAAAATTTACAATTAAAAAATTCTTAAGGATCCTTAAGAGATCCTTACCATTGCTGTTGCTCTTAGGAGTACTTTGAATTCGTTTAGACAAAAATACAACACACGTCACAAATTACAGACAAATATATAAGACGACAAAGTCCTTCCCTCGTTAATTGTTATGATCTCTCCGACCAAACCAAGCAGCTTCTCCCTCTTAAATACCTCTGGACCGTAGTGTACTTTCCCCCAAACCCAAAAAACAAAACCTCCTCTTTTTTTTTCCCCTCTCTAAAATGCGTATGAGCTGTAACGGATGTCGAGTTCTTCGAAAAGGCTGCAGTGAAAACTGTAGCATAAGACCTTGTCTTCAATGGATCAAATCCGCTGAATCTCAAGCCAACGCCACCGTCTTCCTCGCCAAGTTCTATGGCCGTGCCGGCCTCATGAACCTCCTCAACACCGGTCCTGACCACCTCCGTCCTGGTATACCAACTTCCCATGCATGTCATGTTTTTTTTTGTTATGGTTAATTGCGAAGTTCTGGGCCGAATCTCATACATCTTTTTACCGGGACTGCTATTAGTCCCTCCAAGCCAGAATCGAACTAGGTCTCTTAGGAAACATAGGATTCTGTTTATTTTTCTAGCATGCATCTAATGATTTGTTTTTTTTTTTTTTTTTTTTTTTGTAGGGATATTTAGGTCATTGTTGTACGAAGCATGCGGGAGGATTGTGAACCCGATATATGGATCAGTCGGTTTATTGTGGTCCGGGAATTGGCATCTTTGTCAAGCTGCGGTCGAGGCCGTGATGAGAGGCTCACCCGTGACTCCGATCGCATGCGACGCGGCGGTTACGGGTCAAGCTCCTCCTTTTAATAACAAGCTCTGTGACATAAGACACGTGTCAAGCAAGGAAGAGAACGTGAAGAGACGGAGCCGTGGTGCATGCAAGGAAGAGAGAAACGTGAGGTCGTTGAGTCATGAGTCGTCACTGAGCCACGAGTCACCGGTGTCGTCTGAAGAGACGACGACGGAGGAACCAAAGAGTTGGATCGGGCTTGAGCTAACTTTGGGGTTGGAGCCTGTATCACGTGGGAGTCACGTGGTTGTGCCGATGAAGAAAAGAAAGTTGGAGAGGTGTGGCACGTCTGAGGATGAGGACACGTGTAAGATTGAGCTAGGACTCGTGTGCAGTGAGTGAATGGTTCTTTTTTTTTTGGCTGGGTCTTAGTTACAAGTTTTGGTGTTGAGTTTTTAGGTGTACAAATAGAGATTAACAAATCTCTCTTTTTTTTTTCTCTTTTTTGAGTTTTATGTTTTTCTTTTCTTTTGCATGTTCGGTGTATGAATGATAAAGAGGTCTTAACTTAACAAATCTGCTATTTTCAGAGATCTCTGGGGGATTAGATTACAAAAAATCTTAATTTGTTTAGTGGTGAAATCTCCATACGATGATTAGTCATTCATTATAAATAGTTTTATTTCAAAAAGCCCTTTTGTATGTGAACCGTTACCGAATGACTAACATGTGTGTTAGATTTTCGTTCTCAAAGGATATGTGTAGAAATCTTAATTTAGCTAGAGAAGAGGTTGAATTATTTTAAATTAAATGGGTCGAAATGTGTATTCAGCCGAAAATATGGCCCAGCTCTTTTGGACTTGAATCCAAAATTTGTCCATCTATCTTCCCCTATACACGCACACTTATCATTTATGCTAAAATAATTAATGCAGTTCTTAGACCACCCACAATGGGTAATTTCTCGTTGGGTGTAAGTAATAAAATATAAGAAAATAAGGGAATAGTTAGTTTAGAGACATAAGTTGAGTGTTATCCCACACCCGGGTGTGAGAGCCACGTGGGAGGATATTGTTGGTTAGGAATTTTTGACGGAAAGGATCTCATAAAAGTAGGCGCCTCTACCAATAATCAAGTCTATTAACTTTATTTCTAAACACAAACTCTTAGCTTTTTTTAATTATAAAACCGTCTTAACATATATCCCTTCGGTTATGCCTTTGCTGATGCTCTAAGCCTACAGTATATATTTTTTCCATGAAAATTAATTTCACAAACTAAAAGTATTATAGGCTAAAAAAATCAGTAATATATGTAATATTATTTGTTAATTGTAAAATTATTCAGTAAAATGCAGTTTTCCAAAGTTAATAAGAAACTAACAATTTTTTTCGTTAAACCTAGAGAAACTAATATTGTAGTTAAAATTATAACGTGGAAAAATAATTGAATGAAATCACTGGAACATTTGTTTTTCATTATTCGAATTCAAAATGTGATCTAATAACTCGAAAATATGAATTGGATAGTTCTACTGCTGCAACGATTGCATTAGAACTATTTAGATTTCAGACTGTAGACTCAATCGTGTGCCTTAATGGGTGGGGTGACATCGGCCGCATGATTTCAGAGCTAAGATCTCTACAATGTGACAACAAACTATGTTAGTTTAATTTTCATAACCAATATATGCATTATTTTATCAATCATATATTTTTAATATCAGCGTCAAGTCATCGATTTACCCAGAACAAGAGATTGTCCTGTAGTTTACGAGTTAAGTGGTTTCAATTTTTTTTTTTTTCTTCTCGTGAGTGGTTTTAGTTTAAAATATTATCTTAAAACAATAATTTTATATAAAACAGAAAGAAGATTTTTGCGTCTAATCATTATCGAAAGGATATATCTATCATATGCAGGCGCCAAAAAGGTGACCCATGTACGCAAAGTCACAAACACAATTGCAAAATTGATATTTTAGTCAATTATCCCATGTAAACAATGATTATTTAGTAAGAAAAAAAATGTGTACATTGCATACAAATTGCAACACACATCCACCACAAATTACTTCTACGTTAGAATGTCAATAGTGTCGCATTTGTAGTGTTGTTGTCTGTGGAAATCGAAACTAACACAATCAAGATTTGTCTAGGGTTTTATTTTAGGGATACGATAATCGTGAATTCTCAAAGAACAACAGAAACGATTGATACCAAAGATGGTGTTCTTGATATTATTAATGAAAAGATGATTTTGATCGTACAAGAGTTTGATCGTAAAAGAAAAAGGTGTTTGTGCTGTGAGAGCTTTGCGTAGTGTAAATTCTAGAGCGATATTCCTTGCCCTTCGTTTGAGCCTTGAGTCTCTTTATATAGGGACGATAAACCGCCTCTCCAGCGATATTCTCGGAAGATTTCCATTTATCTTGAAGTCGGCCAGAATATCGCGGATTAGGACAATTTCCTTATTCTTCGGAGTTTTCGGAAGATTTCCTGATTTGAGTTGATCCTTCGCGATTCTTCCTTATCATTTCCGAGTTTATCGGAAATGATCCTTCTTTTTCGGAAATGATAACTTGCTTGGAAATGATACCTTTAGAGAAGAATATTTACTAAGTCTTTGCTTCGGGCGATGATGAAGACTTCGCCTCGGGGAACTTATGCAACTGGCTCGGGTACACAGGAAGAACCGGCTCGGGCACTCTAGGATGGCTTCTTCGGGTGTCCCCGAGGCGATGGGCTCAGAAACTCCCGAGGCGACCAGGCTCGGGTACCCTCGAGGCAATTGGGCTCGGGTGCTTCCGATGTCTTGTTCAGGATATCCCCGAGGCGATGGGCTCGGGTACCCCCGAGGCAATTGGGCTCGGGTGCTTTCGTCGTCTTGTTTAAGTATCCCCGAGGCGATGGGCTCGGGTACCCCCGAGGCAATTGGGCTCGGGTGCTTTCGTCGTCTTGTTTAAGTATCCCCGAGGCGATGGGCTCGGGTATACTAAATCGATTAGACAGATATCCCGAGGTGAATGATGCGATGCCCCGAGATGATCTCTGAAAGACTCCCGAAGTGTTCTAAGTCTGGCTCGGCGCCAAAGGGTGGAACCCGACCCCAACATTGTCCGTTGTCACATGGTAAATTCGGTAGATACACTCTTTTATGTAGGTTAGGAAGTTTTGTACCTTAGATGTGTAGTCTTTGGAATCATGGAATAGAAGAGTAATCTATAATTTAACTTTTAAGAGTTCAAACTCATCGTGTTAAGGGTTCATACCCTTTTTTTAGTACGAAAGTTTAGTTTTCAAATCAGAATATCTAAAAATTGACTTTGGATATTAGAAGACAGTATGGACCGAAAGTTCGGAACTTCCACAGTTTATTAAAAAAATAAAATTCATAATCTGGTCTCATATTTTGGAAACTTTCCTAGTCCAGGCCAGAGCTAACGCTGAATTGATCGCCGACCTTGAAGGCGGCAAAAATGTCGAAGATGAAAAGGAGGAAGTTCTCCAGTGGAAAGCTGAGTATGGAGATGCTGAGGAGGAGTTTGTGCGGATCGGAACCGAGCTGCGAGAGGATCTGAGGCTTCCTCCGGCTTCTCCGGATTCTGTTGAAGATAATTTCGGAAACAGGTCAATCGAGGGGGTTGCCGCGGGAATTG